GTGACTCAAAAAAATTAATGAATGCGTACATTTATTTTATTGATTTAATCAGGAACTACAAAACCGAATGCTTTGAAATCTTGCAGATGTTTTAAGGTTATAAAGAGCATAATAAATTTTTAGTCAAAATATATTTGGTTATCTTCTACAAAAAACTGATGACGTCAGCTCAAAAGTTTGCCGAATAAATCGTATCTAAAATGTACAAAATATGATGAGTCTGTACTTGTGATTTATCATTCCATTCATATTTTTGGATTTGCATATGCAGGGTGACTCAAAAAAATTAATGAAGGCGTGAATTTATTTTATCGATTTAATCAGGAATTACAAAACCGAATGCTTTGAAATCTTGGGAATATTCTAAAGTTATTATAAGCATGGTAAACTTTTGTTCAAAATGTATTTGTTCATCCCTCCTAAAAAAATTGATGACGTCACCCTTAAATTTTGCTGAATAAATCCTATCTAAAATGCAAAAAATATGATGAGTTTCTACTTGTGAATTATCATTCCATTCATATTTTTTAGATTTTCTTAAGAGGTGGTTCAAAAAAATTAATGAAGCCAATTTATTTTATTGATTAAATTAAAGGCAACACTTATTATTAGTATTACACCCCAACCAACCCAATTTGGTAGACAAAAAAATTGTTAAATGAAAAACTCGGTTGAAACATAAGGGTAGCACGCTTATTTACATCGACTTTAACATTACAGACCTGCATTTGTTTTATGCGCTCACTTGGTTCCGCGAATGTGAAATAGACATGTTTATAATCAACCAATTGTGAATTTCACCGTCAAGAATTAAAATAAAACCCAATGTTTTATATAATAAGCGGAAGTCGAAGCAATAAAACCGATGGTCGTTTTGTTTACAGTTTCTCTGTTTGACTCTCAAGTATGCTGTTACGCCTGTCATCTTAAATTAAGAATGTTTATACATACACGATTTTCAGCTGCCTGGGATACGTATACGTGAGTAAATTGTTTCGTTATTTTATTGATTATTACAAATCAATATTCAAAACGACCCAATTCATTTTCCCGAAAATTTGAGAATATAATAATTTTATTCTTAGTATTACACTACATCTATCCCAAACTGATATACGTGTCCTTGCAAAAATGTTGATGACGTCATCGCAATTTTTTTTTAAATTCCCACTACAAAAATGTAATGAGAAAAAACACAATAGGCATGCAGTCGTCAAGTTTCCGACAGCGAGGGAAGTACTGTCTAAACTCTTTAGACCAATTTTTTTTTTTTTTATCGAAAGCAACGACTGTAGCCAAATATTTATTATGTCAACATACAGTCAAACGGATGGCTGCGGTGGTTATAGCTATTATTGAAAAAAAGTTATATTCTAGAATCAGAAGTGTTTAGTTATAATACTGTTACGAAACCGACATAAAATTTTAGATTCTGAAATACGACGTGACAAATAAAAGAAAAAAGTTTAAAAATATCAAAGTTCAAGGAAAGTTACGATTTACGACGAAATTTTAATAAACAAAAATTCAGAATAGATGCGGAATGACAAAGACTTTATAAGAATTGTGTAAACATTCATATAACGACTTTTTCAACAAACGGTACGTTTTTAATTACACCGCCGAAATGAGTTTCAGTTTCAGTTTAATGCTTCCACTAATAAAATAAAAGATAAAACCAGTGCTATTCTTTTATTGTTATTAAGTTATTAAATGATTACCGACTAGTTTCGAAAAACTTCTGTATCTTCAGGACACTCTACGTCACACTTATCAAAACCTAAGAAAATTAGCAAATACATGTGAAAATCTTTCACATAATCCTTCGATCCTTGGAAAATTCGTTTGAACCATTTTTAATTTTCAGAAATAGCAGTTTCTGTTATACCTCAATCTTTCAAGGATTATTATCAGTTGCCGTCTTCAAGAAAAGTTGCGAAATAAAGAAACATAAAGGAGATTCTAGAAAAAAAAAAAAAATACAGAATAGGATTAGATTTAAAAAGTCGGTTCACTTAAGAAAATGGGAATTCCAAAGTTGGTTGTTACACAATTTGGTTGCGAAAATCTAGATAGACGACATACAAAAACTGGAAACCTATTTTTTCGTACTTTAGGGGTCATGAAAGGTCTAGAACTCATAAAAGCATCCGTTCGCTGATGGACATTACAATCCTGCCTTAGTTTACGCTCGGGAAGTACTAAAAATATAACAAGTCTCTACAATCTGGACATCGAAAAAATTGACAAACCACAAGAATATGATTTGGTACAATTACAAAAATTAATTTCAAATAACTAAACCGAAAAAGAAAACAAATTTTCTATTCCTAAGCAAAACCGGATATACCAGAACGGTAGTTCGACACGCCATGTGGATCCACGACGGTGATCAGACGAAAATTCATAAACAAAACTGAGGATCTTAATTGCTGTTTGCTTTTGGACTGTAAAATTGATCATCACGACTACCATAAAATGTGAGTAGAATCGTAAAGTCGTAATGGGCCCAAAACTAGCAGTCTAGTCTCAATCAATAGCCGCCACAAGTCGTGACAGAAATATTATTCTGTGCAAATGGACAAGCCACAATATTTAGTCTGATACTGGATTGCAAGCAAGAAAAAATCAATACAGCTGAATTTTTTTATAACAAAAACATGAAATCTTGTAGCTTCCCGATCCCGACAACGAATTTATTTCTGTAAAAAGTGCTGACATCCTATGTCTGGTATACTTTGAGCAAACAGCCCCTATGGGTTATATAAAAGAAATACTCCAGGGATATGAAGTTGGAAGAAGTGGAAATTGAACCGCAGCACTTGAAAAAAAAAGTCACTGCTGGTGGACGCGAACCCGAAATTTTTATAACCCAGTAAGTGTTATAAAATAATATGCGCACTGCGTTTGTTGTCGCAACTTTACAGGGATACCCAAATCATTACATAAAAGTTATGAGGGGAGCTTTGTGCGTATAGAAAATGTACTGCAGACAAAAGAATATATCTATTATGGTGCAAATTACTGTCACCCTGCCAATAAAAGAAGGAAGTGCAGAGAAATATGATATGGACAAGTACGGAAGATGTTCCAACGGCAACGATAACCATTTCGTTAGAGAAATCAGAGCCACTAAGCCCTAATATAACTCGGATATGAACAGCAGAATGTATATATTTAGTGGGTCTAAAACCAGTGTAAATGATCTGAAAAGCGAGAACGATCTTGATCTGTTTGTAATAAAGACAAGATTTAATAATATCTACTAATATTAAAACGTTTTAATAAATAGAATATATAAATTGAACTTCATATAGGTCATGCTGACCTCTCGTGTCTACGGTATGCTGAATACTTCGTGGCAATTGCCGCGTGGGATTAGTCTAATAAAGATCCTGTATATTGCGTTATCAACAAAAATCAAAATGTAAGCAAATTTCAAGAATCTTCAAGTTGATGTTAAGTAAATTTGAATTAACAAGAATTTGTTAGAATTATTAAAATAAAATTTAATCCGTCTGTTTTACTAATTTGAGTATCTAAAACGTTTTTTTTTTTCGATGGTTGTTCAAAGTAACTGTTTGTCAACACTGCCAAGCTTTCAACGCGTGTGTTTAACATCCTTAATCCTCCAATCATTAATCAGCAACATTTCTTCAAAGGCTCGTTGTTGCCATGAGGCATAGTTTTAGTGCCTTAAGAACAGAGCTGCCACAATCTGAAGCAGACACATTTGCCGCTCAAGTTGATATTAACCTGAGCATTGTAACTGTCACTATTATTGTGTTTATTTTTCTATTTCGCACTCTAAAATACCCATTATTCTAAATCGTTAATGCAAATTTGTTCACTTATGTTACGATATAAGGAAGTATTTCCTACATGCGAGGCCATTTTAGATTTTAAACATTGAGTTTTTAAAGGCTGTTGAACTCTAGTTATATGCATTGTTATATATTTTTTTGTATATTCAAAAGAGCCCTGGAGTAACGTGTAATTTAATTCTGGATTAGGAAGGCATCTTATCAGTGAATCTTCATAAATCTTAGCAGATTATTTTCGTTTGTTTTAGCTTCATCGTACAAAAAGCTTATCTAATTTTCCTATTTACAAGAATGAATCACCACCATATCAATTTTGACGTTCAAAATTTGACACAATAAGTTAAAAATGCAGGGCTTTCATTAATGTTTGATGCCTAGTAAGCCATAGATTTTTAAAATCAGTTGGTACTTCTTGCGCATCACTGCGCATGCTTAACCATAAACGTCATCGTCATGACATCAAACGTCAAATTTCAAATTTAATTTGACAATTTGACTGTCGTACCAACTTACAAACAAAATGCATGGCCTACTAGATATTAAACACTAATGAAAGTCTTGTAAACCATAGTCATAAGCAACACTGTTTGTAGTTCTAATAAAATAAAGGTGACATATGAATCCTTCAAATTTATTACAATTTCTTATAATATTTATGTATTATTCTATTTGATAAAAAAATTCTTTATTTTCTGTCCAAAATAAAATAATTTTTAAATCAGTTACCGGCAAAGACTAACTAATAATAAACTAAAATTATATTTTTGTGTCATATCAATTAAGTACGTTGTATGAGTTTTAAGTTGAATACAAAAAATTCATCCCAGATATTCCCTTCCTTTAAAAATAAATTTAGAGAGTGAATTGCAACTCTGCAGACTACGAACTCCTCAGCAATAAAAAAAAAATCGCTGGGTGAAAATTTTAAAATGTTTCATAATTTCAGGAAATTTTAACGTTCTTATGCTATAAAAATTACGGAGTTAAAATCAGTAGAGCGTGCTTACATACTGCTGTAAAAAACCAAGCCAAAATTATAAATTCATTAAAACCACGGTTGTCGCCTTTCTTTTAACAACTTAACTTTTCATGTTTGCGCTAGTCGATATTAAAATGCATTAATTAATCTCGCTCAAAATTCGGTAGCTGATTAAATTATTATTATTATATGCTTACCATGCTGTCGTAGTGAAGGGGTAACATAAGTCCTGGGGTCGTAGCCACATGTCGAATGAGTCTTGGGCAAGTCGGATACTGCGCCAGATTGAGATGTACTTCGGTGGTTCTGAGGGCATTGATGATAATTTCACTGTAACAGCAAAAAATTAGTTGAAAAGTTTCACAGATGCGGATTTAAATTACTTGATAACTTCTTGAAGATGAGTTTCATCTAAATTATTCTTGATGTTACCAACGGGTGCGAGTGCCACTTTAATTTCAGGCCATCCGTCGCACTTAACGTCGGCTTGCAATTTTTCAGATACACAAAAGATGTTTAACCTTGCCCTAAAGCGATTAATATTAACTCTGTAATGTGATGTTTCGACTTTGTCACCTTTTTGGCGGAAGCTTTTTAATTGAAATGCAGGTGTTGCTTCACAGTCGCATGTGATTGTCTGGAAAGATAAAAGGAAAATTATTAGTAAAAAGGAATGCACCAAGTACTATAATTGTTAGTGATGTTCCTGCACGTGATTTGTCTGTGAATTAAATCTCTGTCAGATTCTTATGTTGACTAGTGCCAACTGCATTACCACCTATGTTATATCTTATTACCAATTCCATGTTTCTATACCTATACTAAAATACACTTAACTATTCGAATTTAATTTTACTTATTTTATCATTAGCGTGAAAATGTATACCGAGGGATACTTCGTTTTTGACATATAATATGACACACGTGAATTTAAATAAATTACAAATTATGTTGCTCGCCCAATACTCCTGTTTCGCCATCAAACTGGTTTGTTATATCCAGATTTTTTTCTACAAACAATTTAAGGAAAAGCAGATTTTGTTCAATAACTATTTTGATATTGAACGTTTTATGGTCATGAAATTAGTCCCAGCTACATTTTTCCGATGTTAAAATAAAGTTCAGGTGTTCCACCCATAAAAATAACGTATAATTTACCGATAATGCTACCGTGTATACCTAAAGTTTTGATAGAAATGCATTACCGATAATAAAAAAGACACGTGCAACTTATGGAATTAAAAACACATCACGTTCGTACTTGAATGCCTCAAAAAGGTGTCAACTAAACATCTACATTATTAAAAAGTTACGGGTAAATGATCAAGTGATCAAATTAATTGTTTAAAATGTCCAGAAAATATGGATTCGATTCAACACAAAACTCATTAGGATAAATTAATAAGGCGCTGGTAAATTTACATAAATTTGAACAATCTAAAGGTCTCCGTTACTATGGAAGATGCTGCGACAGTAGCAGTTGCGATGGCGACGGGAACTTGCGATATCACAAATCCAACTTGAAATTGGCGCGTAAGACCACAACCAAGCTTGATAATATTTTTTGAAATAACCGTATAATATACATTATTCAAATGTTTTTTTAGTAGCGCGCGAGGCAGACAATTACAGATGGGCCACGAAGTCACTTTTCTCCTAATAAAACGTGCTACTTTTTCTTCAAACGTGAAATTGGCTCCAATTTCTTGGACATGAAAATGTTGAAATACAAAAAATTGTGATAAAAATCAATTGGGTAGAACTGATTTATTTTAAATTCTTAAAGTAGTAGTAAGATAACTACCGGGTATTCTAAAGTCTAAAAAATTCAAATAGATTTATTGATCACAAACCGAACAGGTACCCTTCACTTTTTCTGCTGCTGATGAGAGGCAGAAAAAGTGGAGTTACAATACTTTTTATAACTTTGTGATTTTTTTCTTTCAATGTCTATATGGTTTTTTAGTTTGATGTGAAAATGGATCTGCATCAAAATTACTATTAAATTACAAAAGGGTTTTTCTTCTTGTTTCATATTCCAATTCCAGGTATTTGAAACAGCCCTTAAGGACAACTGGTTCATCAAAACTGATCAAAAATAACTGCTACAAATACTATTATTCACAAATTTTAAATGTCGTTCCGTCTTATAACCTCACTTATTTTCACGATATTTTCTACTGATGTCATGAGGATATTGATGAAAAAAATATTATTATAATCTGTACCACTCTGTATATATAAAAGTGCTTAAACTACTGACCCTAAAAACATGAAATTTGGAGAGTAGGTTTCTTTTGTAATGTAAGCACCCACTAAGAAAGAAATTTGGGAAATTACACCGCATGGGCAACAAGTATCTTAGTTAAAAACATAAAATGTTAATCACAGCAAAACTTTCATTGAATTCACAAACTTATAAATTATCTTAATTATTATTAGATGATTGCTTAATTTAGGTTTAAATTTCATTAGCTGTTTTGGCAGCAGCAAAAAACTTTTGCAGCATAGGCAGAAAAATTTTCTTCTGCCAAGACAGTAAAGTGTGACTTTGTATCTATCAATTGAAGTATGCAGTCTCTCGTATTTCTGACGTTTGAAGAAAAATAACTATTTTAATATCTTGTACAAGGATTTTAAAAAAATAAAATTATATTATTTATGTACGCATGTGGATGTGTTATTAATCCAGCAAACAAAAGGGGATTTTCTACAACAATTTTCAACAGGCGAAATCCAGGCAGAAAAAAACGACAAATTTGCAACGGCAAAAAAGCAACCAAAACCTTATACCTTGAATAAAGGAGACATCTTCATGTATTTTATTATTATTGCTTTTTCTTTCGCAATCTTGGATTAATATAAGCATGTTAAAAATTTTGGAATCAAAAAGCAAAAAAAAAAAAAAAATTAAGGGCACTGTTATCCACAATTTTTTTTTCGTTTGTTTAACAGTTGTAAATTTCAGTTAATACAGCTTTCTTTAATTATTAGTTTTCAACAACACATTGATTTAATTCCTTTTACAATTTCATTTAAGCGTATGGAAACGCTCAGAATTATTCTCATTTAAATGAATCAAACTCAGTTAACATCGTTAGCACTTTCTTCTTAGAAACTGTAAGTGTAATACCGTACCAAATCAAATTAACAACTGGACCGTTGACTGAGATCCAGTTGTTAGTACATATCTTCACTCCGCAATCCAGCAAATGATTTGTTTGCCGACTAAAAATAGGGAAAATAAACAGTACTAGCGCAAGTAAAAATATCGATCATACAAATGAAACTTATGACACATCATACAAAAATTTGCTGTGCAGATAATATTTCATTTCATTTGGTAACAGTAATTGGTTTCATGTTTGGAGTTGGCTATGATCAGTGGAACGTATGTCATTTGTTGTAAAATTTCTAAACAAAATAATTTGCTCATTAAATTTTCATCAACATAGAGCACTCACTTAAATGAATAGCTCAAATTAATATCCATACGAGTGTCCAATTCTTGATTTCAATTTTTAAAAAGTTAGAAGAAATTATTATGATTTACGAGTAAAGAAAAAATACGGGGCTGGTTATTTTTAAAACACATTTTCCTGTGTATTTATTGCACAGATGATATCTTAGACTACATGTTTTTTTACTATTTCACCCACATGTGAGGAATGATATAGCATTTAATTATTCGCTATTTTTGCTTTACATATACGTGTTTTTAAAAATATATACCTATTTAAAGCTTGTACAACTATCACCAGAAATCTGTTTAACAAAATTCACTCTCATTGGCTTGGTAATTTCGAATTGTCTGGCCTTAAGTAGTAAAACTAAATTGTCGACGGCCAACTGATAACCAACGCGGCAGACAGGCAGAAAGAAGCTTTTAAACTAAAAGTGGCTGAAAAACCGACAGTGGCAAGTTATCAGTGTTATCACATTTTTCAGGACTTACCAATGAAAAATTAATTTATTTACATTTTGGACAATGGTATAAAAATCTCATTAAAATGTTACATTATAGGTAGTTAATGTAACATTAACACTAAAAAATCAGCTGGGCCGATGGTAAGCGAAAAAATTGAGTTAGATGTTGACTAAAATCTTGATTAAATAGTATTGCCAAACGAACATTATTGAATGAGTTATAACTGTGATAAGATCTCGGCACAGGAAATTAAATGAATACACTCTGAACCTTGCCGTTTCCAATTACACAGTTGACTATTGAACTGTGTTAATGATGACGGCTGATTATGTTTCAACAAGTAAACGCTAGTGTTGAAGTTATACCTACATAGCAATACCCGAAAACATACAATGAGAGTTCATACCACTATATTACGTGAAATGAGCCAGAATGGCGCCCCTTCTGTCTGAATCGTATTTTCGTGGCGCCGTCGCCGTCTGGGAAATCTAAATTCTGGCAGGGGTTGTTGCGACCTATGTCATCGTATAAAAAATTGCGTCTGCATGCTACATAACAAGTAATTATATTAAACAAAGGCGAAATTGCTAGTTTTAATTAAATTTTTGTGTACATTTCATGCAAATTTGTACGCTACATGGATGCACCACTCTAACTTATAATACCTGCTACGCTTGTTTAAAATATGCAAAACGGGTTTCCTTGAAATTTTATAAACAAAAGCCAAGTCAAATATTTACACTGAATAAACCCAGTCGATCTAGTCTAATAATAAAATGTAGCGTTCTTTTTAAAATTTGTTCAGGAAAACAGTTGTGATGCAACTGTACCTAACCTACCATGATTGATGAATGGCGATCGTTAATTATCTACATTAACAAACGTACAATCAGTTAAATATGAATTGCTGGCATTGTCATACAGTAATATTCGGGTCATGGACCCAAAACAGTTGTAGTAAAGCACAAAAAGCCAGTCTGACGAGCACTTCCGTGACTAACAACACAGTCATTATTGATTTAATGAATTTTTTAGAAATGCTAATGATAATGACATTGTTCCGATTGTTCAAATGCCATTTTTGTGTACATTGAAGTATAGATTTTAACCGAATTTATTTAAGAGTATTTTTTTGTGAAATTGGGATTAAAATTCTACTAGCTAAAGAAGGTATAACAATTTTTTCCTTTTTTTTCTATGATAGAACGATATACTTATAGTATTATACGTCAAATTGCAGCTTCTTTTCATGTTTAAAGGCCCCTGTCATATTAAATATTTGTTAGTAACTTAGTAGTACAATTTATTTAAATACTAATGTCTTTATTAAAATAAAAAATACCATTAATTAATTCAAAATACACCCTATGATTTTCATAGGAGTATTACAAAAAAAAAGTGGAAAGTTTGTGATACAATCCTTAGCACAGTTTTTTAACAAAAACGACCAATTATTGAAAAAAATGGGTTTGAATTCAACACGGTTTGAGTGGTTAGTTTAGAGTCTTGCCGCTAGGAGCGCGACTATATTTAAACTTGAGGACCAATCATCCGAAAGAGTGAATGCTGAAACTGGTAGATTTGGGAATTATACAATTATTAACATTTCTAGTCCGTGTTCATACTATTGTATGTATTACAACTACAGATTATTTTTAAAGTATATATATTTTGCGTTGAACAACATTTTAACAACACTGTAGAATCTT